AAGTGACAACTTTTATTGTGACATTTCCATATATATAACATTTTAGCTCACATTCATATAGATATTCAGATATTTATTTACTTCATTATCTAGGCCTATAACGTAGCAGTTAGAATAGATATCTTTATTGTCATTGCACAGTAGTATGACATGTACTTTGCATCCCTAATAGGGTGCAACAAATAAATAAGAATACAGTATTCTACTGTATTCTTTGGCCAGTGCAACACACTGTGAGAAAGCGCTATATAAAATACAGTCCATTTACCAAATAAATAAGATACAGTAAAATCTATAATAGACCAGACAAAAACTAGAAGCTGGATTAAAGAAATAAAACATAATGCCCCAGGTGTTCTATCACAGACCCTTTCCACCATGTCTCCATTGATGTTGATAGGAAGGTGGTCCTCCCAATGTCTCCTGAAGTAAATTATGACTTGTTTGGTTTTCTGTGTATTTAGCACAGGTTGTTTTGAAAGCACTACGCTACTAGTCGGTCAACGTCATCCCTATAATTTGACTTGTCCCCCTCAGAAATCAGACCCACCACTGTCTTGTCATCTGCGAATTTAATAATAGTGTTAGTTGGGTGTGTAGTTGTGCAGTTGTGGGTATAAAGTGAATAAAGGAGAGGACTTAGTACACAGCTGTGTAGGGCACTGATGCTTAGAGACTGAGTAGATGAATGGTGAGTGCCCATTCTAACTGTATGTGGTTGATCTGTAAGACAGTCCCTTATCCACATGCACATGGTATGACTGAAACCTAGCTCAGATAGTTTATTGACCATTCTATTGGGTACAGTAGTATTGAATGTTGAACTGTAGTCAATGAAAAGCATCCTAACATATGTCCCTTTCTCCTCTGGGTGCAATGTGCAGGGCAGGGAAATAGCATTTTCTGTAGACCTGTTGTCCTGTAAGCAAATTGGTACTTATCCAAAGTAGGAGAGAGGTTGGATATGATGTATTTTAGAATGAGCTGTTCAAAATACTTAATGACAATAGGGCCGAGTGTCACAGTCCCTCAGAACCCTTCCTGGTATTCCATCAAGTCCTGCCGCCTTTCGTATGTTCACTGAGTTAAGCACTCTCTTCACCTCCCATGTATTAATAATAATAATCACCTTTATTTGGCCAAGTATGTTACACACTAGGGATTTGTTTCCAGTACAGAACCGGCTGTATTATAACTAAAATAAAAAGCAGTATTAATAAGCAGCAACCAGAGCAAACGATGCAAAATAAGCAGCATAAACAGGCAGTAGACAATGCAGACAGACAAGGAATGTTCATTGAAATGAGATAATAGGAATAAAAGGCATAAAAATAGAGTACTTAAAGATAGAGAACTGGGCAGGGGGCAAGTAAAGAGTAAGCCAGCATAAGGTTGTGTAATATAACATCATTAGATAAATTCATGCTTATATAGACTACATTATTCGTCCCTGGTAGGCTAGTGGTTAAGGCGCAGTGCTCTTGCCGCTTTTCTTTCTTTCTCTCTATAGACTACATTATTATATGTTTCAAGTTTTTTTTTTTTTTTGTTTTGTTTTTAGTCGGATTATTTTTAGATACCTTTTCATATACAGATACATTTTCAGTGCAGGGACCTTTCTTGTAACAGTGGTACTAGTAGCTACTTTTACTTTAATAAGTGATTTGCTCCCTTCACCACTGGTAGACACTGAAATGTGCATTTTTACCAGTATATCGGTATTGTGTAATGTTTTATCCTAAGCAACCAAAGCACCCTTCCAGTTAATTTTGCACTAAAGTGAGTTTGCAGCAGTAGAAAGACATCGTGTTTACTATAGACACTGTAGATTTAATACCACACTATTTTAATTTATTCAATATAGTGTGAAGATATAGTAGCCTATCTAGCACGGGTATTATTATTATTATACATATTAATAGACTGTATGAGGGCTTACAAATAAGGTGGAATTGAGATATATACAGTATTAAAAAAAAAAAAAAAGGCTGCGCCGCCCGGGAATCGAACCCGGGTCGCAAGAATGGGAATCTTGCATGATACCACTACACCAGCGGCGCTATGGGTGAAGTTTGCCTGGCAATGTCTTTATAGGTCTGGTAGTCGATACACTACTGTGTGGTGAGTTGTTTTTAGTGAGATATGGTTGGTGTCATATGCTTGACGTTATAATGTAAACTAGTAGTTTATTTCTATCACAAAATACTGTAAACGGATGCGAAAATGGGTAATAACGGAGGTCACTCTTTTTGGCACATTTATTTTGAAAGAAGAGAAAATTTGGGAAAGGTATTCATTTGCTTCCGGGGCAGCGTCACTGATAGTTTTGCGTCAGGTTTCTAGTTAGAGGCTATATGTCAACAGCTAAAACCAGGTGTTTTGAACATTAGTGTTATTTAGCAAAACAGTCCGAGGAATATAGTCCTTGTGATAGTAGGTGCAGAATTTTATTTACATTAATGTATTAGTGATTAACGGGAAATGCCAGTCTTCATGTTTTTGATTCTGCTGCCACATATCAGTCACGAACTCTGTGATAACTAGGATAAATTTGTGTTATTAGACTAATGACAACGCATTTTGTAGAGAATCTTACGAACACTTTGGTGAAATATAGCTAATGTTAGCCAGCCACGTTGGTCAGTGTTTAGCTAGCTAGCTAGGTTAACCTGCTAACGTTAGCTACCTTTCAGTTGTTTTAGCGTTGTTTATGTGTTAGCGACGGTCATAACATTTAACAGGTAGTAGCTTTCATCACCTTTCCAGAGAGCCTGCACTCATGTCGGACAGGAACCACGGTGTGGAGTGGGTTGAGACAACTGAGGAGGTCGTTATAACAGAGTTTCTGACCCCTGAAAACAACAACATTGCAGGTAAATTATGATACGTTTCGAGGTTTCATTGTGCTGTAGTTTGACATTTAAGCCAGAGATATGGGTTAATGCACAAGTTCCTATGTACAATTGTATCTTTTTCATTTTCTAGTGATTCCGGTTTTAGAGCCAGCAGAATCAGCGATCCAGAAATTATTGGGCACTGCGGGGCAGGGAGAGGATGGCTTCTGTAAGCAAAACGCTGTCACACACAATCATTTATGTAGCTTATTGTAAAATGGATATTGAATTGATTGTACAGTATGTTCCAGCTAATACATGGAATATTTGAAGTGATTCAGTGATGAATAGAAACTCCATCCATCCATTTTCCTCCGCTTATCCGGGACCGGGCCGCAGGGGCAGCAGTCTAAGCAAAGATGCCCAGATTTCCCTCTCTCCAGACACTTCCTCCAGCTCCTCCGGGGGAATGCTGAGGCGTTCCCAGGCCAACCGAGAGACATAGTCCCTCCAGCGCGTCCTGGGTCTTCCCCGGGGCCTCCTCCCGGTGGGACATGCCCAGAACACCTCCCTAGGAAGGAGCCCAGGAGGCATCCGAAACAGATGCCCGAGCCACCTCAGCTGGCTCTTCTCGATGTGGAGGAGCAGCGGTTCTACTCTGAGCTCCTCCCGGGTGACCGAGCTCCTCACCCTATCTCTAAGGGTGCGCCCGGCCGCCCTGCG